TTTGGGTCAAGGATTAAGGCGGCCACTGTCAGGCCAGGGGTGCCCGGGGGCCATATGCCGCCATACACCCCAAGGCAGCCCAGGCCGATCCTGCCCGGGAAGGAGTGTGTGCTGGGTGCAGAAGTTGCTGTTTGCAAGTGGACTCTTGGGTGTGACAGGGATTCCAGAAAGCAGCTGGAGAATGGGGGGAGCAGAGGGGGAAACGGTTGGTGTTACGGATGATTCTGTTATTAAAGCGATCTTCTCCATCTCGGCCTTCCTGCAGCTGCCCAGCCCTCCCCCACCTCCCGGTCCCTGGCTTCTCTCCCTAGAGGACTCCGGGGGAACAGCTGGTGAGTGAGGGGCTCATCAGGGCCCCAAGGCCTTGGCGAAGGGCCCAGCTTAGGGAGCATGGGGCTTGCTGCCACCTCTCAGGCCCCTTCCTCCCAGGCCTGGACTTGCGTTCTGCCAGGGCACAGGGGAGGGAATGGGAGCTGCAGACCCGAGTCCTTTGCTCTGTCTGCCTGAAAGGCCAGGAGAGAGCTCTTCTGAGGCCCTGGAAGCCCCTGCCCCTTCCTGGCTTTAAAGGGCCTGTGGGTTCTAGGGCCTGACTGACGAGGCTGAAGAGATAGTGGTCACGGAGATGCACTCTGCGATTGGCTGAACCAGCCACGTCCCCAGGCCAGGGACTTCCCCCGCCCCCATGCCCAAGCAGCTGTTCCCCCTTTTCTGTCCCTGGCTGCTTGAAAACTGTGCTCTCCCCCCAAGGACTGGCCAGAGAGGCTTTGCTCTTCCTCTCCTCTCTCCCTCCTCTCAGCACTGAGGTCACCGTCCTCTGAATCAGGCCTTTGTCGGAGGCGGGGCTGCCTGTTGGTTGGCAGTTGTGGCGGGAGAAGCCCACAGTTCAAGTCAGGGCTTCCACACCCTGCAGCTTCATCCCTGTGCAGCCCTGGCTGACCTCGACCCGACATCCGACATCCAGGATGTATTGACGGTAGGATCACCAGAGGAATGTTTGAAACCAGGGCCATCCTGAAAATCCCAGGCTGGGGCTTTTCCCGGGAGCCCATCAGGCTGAACACAAGCTGTGAGTAGTTGTGGGCCTGCGGGAAGGAGAGTGCTCGGCCCCTGGGGCAAGGGGCCCCCAGTGACACCCAGTAGGGACCCCACTGGGGAACTGACCTGGATTGATTTTTTTTCTCATGAGACTTAAGCCAAAAACCCAGACTCTGAAGGGCCTAATTAGGCTGATTGGGATCGGGAGGTGGTAGTATCTCTCTGGATCTTAACATTCCCCAGAGGATTGCAAAGATGCAGGAAGTTTTCCTAACACCATAGAAATCTTGAACTCAAAATCTGGTCTGACTCATAGCATGTGCCCCTCCCTACCACCAAGGTCAAATGCAGGCCTCTTGCCTGTGACTCTTAACCCTGGCCAAAAGCTTCCTGCCCTGACCTTGTGGCCCTGCAGACACAGAGAAGGCCCCTTTCCCTGAGCTGGCCAGACCTCCTCGGCCGAGGGCAGCAAATATCTCCCCCAAAGTGAGGCTGAGTCATAGCCTGCCTGCAGCCACCATTTCCGGAGTCTCTCCTAGTCCCAGCCAGGGATACAGAGACACACATGGCAGAGCTGTTGCTCTTGGGTGGCTTATCACTGGGAGGGTACCCCCAGATCACAGTGGGACTCAGGCCTCCCTGCTCTGAGACCCGCAGGTGCTCAGATTGGAGGGTGGCATGGTTGGCTCTGTGGGGTAGGCATCACCCACAGCCAGTCCTCACATTCGGACCTCGAGTCTAACCCAGATGCTTTTGTTTGTTTGTTTGTTTGTTTGTTTATTGGCTGCGTACATGGGGTACCTTATTCTCTGAGTGAAAATGCTAAGGTGGGTTGGGCTTGGGCCGATGTTCCCACAAGTACAGAACTGAATCGAGTGGGTCCTGAGAAGTTTGACTTGTCTTGATGTGGAGGAAGGAGATGAACATTACAACCGGCATGTGTGCAGGGCTGTGCTGGTTCAGTCTGGAACTCGGGGGGATAAGGTAGCTCTCTAGGTGACCACTTCCTGTCGGGGATGCCTGCGGGCTTACTCCAGCCGTCATCCTTTTCACCAGCTCCACCTGTTCTGCGTCCATGGGGTGCTCAATGCTGCAGCTCCCTCATCTTCACCCTTGCTCTCTAATGGTGGGTCTGGCAAACGAAGCCCCAAGTCCTGGATCTAATCCTGGATATCCACAGCTGCAGCTCCACCCCCACTGGTGCCAGCTCCACCTCCTCTCATCGGGATCTTGGTTCAGGAAGTGGGAGCTGATAGGCGTAGCCAGCTAAGCCTGTACCTCCTGCTCTTCCCCAGGCTCCTCACCGCTCCAGTCCTGTAGGACCCAGCATGGCTCTAGTTCCTCCATCTGATTGGGGAAAGTACGCCCAGGGCCTCTGGTGTCTCCCCCTAATATTGCTGCTGCTCATAGCAGGGGTCGCTCAGAGCTTGAGGCCAAACCCTATTTTTATTTTTTTAGGAAAACATATTCTCCTAAACCACTTTCATCCTTACTTTGGTTTCTGTTGTGTGGCGAACACAAGACTTGGGCTTTCCGCAGTTTTAGCTTTATTTTTATTTTTTAATTGACTTCTGAGAGGAAGGGAGAGGGAGAGAGATACAGAAACATCAATGATGAGAGAGTATCATTGATCGGCTGCCTCCTGCACACCCACTACTGAGGATCGAGCCCACACCCAGGCATGTGCCTTTTACTGGAATCGAACCCAGGACCCGAACCCAGGACCCGTCAGTCCGCAGGCCGGCTCTCTATGCACTGAGCCAAACCAGCTAGGCCATTAGCTTTATTCTTTCTTGGCCCCTGGACATTGCCTTTTCATCCCACTCCTGTCCTTCATCCTCCCAACTTTTTTTCTCACACTTCCCAGACTTCTGCACCCACCCCAACCCACTGGGGAAATCAATGGGGAGGGGATTGAGGGAGAGCTAGTGACCCATGGGGGCAGGGGACCCTCCGACTGAAGCCAGTGGGCATCGGCCCAGAGGTGAGTGGTGGGTGGGGTGGAATTGGCCCAGCGATGGAGGTAACCCAAGGCCCTTTTTTGGTTTTAACCCCTATTTGTGCATGTGGGAAAGAGGATATTTCTTGAAACATTTTTTTGTTTTATTTCCAGGCCTGTCCATTTCTAAACATATCAAACATGATAATGTCATAGCAAATAAAGTTATACTAGGTACATTTTTTTACTGTATTTTTATTAATTTCAGAGAGGAAGGGAGAGGGAGAGAGAGATAGAAACATCAATAAGAGGGAATCATGGATTGGCTGCTTCCTGCACACCCCCCACTAGGGACCAAGCTCACAACCCGGGCATGTGCCCTGACCGGGCATCAAACTGTAACCTCCTGGATCATAGGTTGATGCTCAACCACTGAGTCATGCCACCAGGCAACTAGGTACATTTTTATGATGTTAAAATAACAAAGGACTGCCCTGGCCAGTGTGGCTCAGTTGGTTGAGTATCCACCTATGCACCAAAGGGTTGCCGGCCCAGGTTACGGGTTCAGTCAATGGTCAGGGTGTATGCAGGAGGCAACCAATCAATATTTCTCTCTCACACCGATGTTTCTCTCTCTCTCTCCCTTCCTCTTTCTCTAAAATCAATAAAAACATTTAAAAATAATGACAACAAAGGACTTTAGATTGTGGTAGTGCTAAAAGTAAATATTACACCGTTTTTCCTTTTCTTCTGGTTTTCAGTTTAGCCCATTGTCATACACACACTCTCACTCAGGAAGACATGCTGTCCTGT